TGCCGAAGAAGAGGGTACACCTAATGTAATGGGACTTCAAAGAAAACTCAGAACGAGGAGGGGGAAGCAGGGGGGCCTTCTGAAAGAAGCTTCAGGGAGAAGCAGCATTTAAAATATGACTTTGGAGGGGCGCCTGGGTGGCTCAGTGGGTCAAGTGTCTGCCTTCGGCTCAGGTCATGATCCTCGGGTCCTGGGATCGAGTCCCGCATCGGGGCTCCCTTCTCAGAGGGAAGCCTGCTTCACCCTCTCCCTCTGCCCCTCTCCCCCCAGCTTGTGCTCTCTCTCTCTCTCTCAAATAAATAAATAAAATCTTAAAAAAAAATAAAATACAACTTTGGAGAACAGGAAAGGTTTGAATAGGGAGATAGAGAGGAAGGAAGGCTGGGGAAAGGGTTTCAGCCAAAGGATCTGCTTGGGCAGAGGCATGGGTTAAAAACAAATCACAGGGTAGTGTGGGAAATGGTGAGGAGTCTATTTTGGCCATGGCAGAGGATGTCGAGGGGAGCGATAAGAGAGAAAGCCAGCAGAGTAGATTGGGGTCATTTTAAGGGCTTCTGTATCTGTTAGGTTGATCTAGGCTTCCCGTCAGATTGCCCTGCTCAGACTGGCCTACGCAATAAAGGGCATTAACTACAGAACTGAGAAGCCCAGGAGTAGCTCCAGCCCGCTCGGGGTGATCCCCCACTCCATGACAATGCCAGGCTCCCATGTGCCTGCCCTGGACCAGCTTCATCCTAAGGCCGCTCGTCCTGTGGCCGGGTGAGGGCGGCCAGTAGTCATCGGGGGCGGGGGGGGGGGGGAAGGCAAGCTTCACTGAGAACGGCCTTCTGTGTCAACTTGCTTTTAGAAGTGATGAAAAATCCCTCCTGGTGTCCCACGAGCCAGAACAGGCTCAGATGTCCATTTCAGAGCCAGTCACTGGCGATGGGGGGTGGGATTGCCCTCTGCCCCATCAGGCCCACTTCCGGAGCTAAGATTAGAGTCCATTTCCCTTGGAACGCATAGCACAAACTCAGAACTTGGTGAAGAGGACGTAGCCCGGATTCGGTGCTAGGGAGGCAACCAGCAACCTCTGTGCTCTTAAGTGCCAAGAAAGTGGAGGATTGTGCTCATTGAGTGAGAAATGGGGAATGTGGAAAAAATGTGAATTTTGATAAACCAAAAATATTCCTGGTTTTCATTGAGTCTAAGATGCTATCAGTTGTTTATTGGGCAAACAACCTGGTTTCTTCAACAAATAACTTGCAAGGAAAAACATGAAGGAGGAAACCTATAGATTAAGAGAGATAGAAATCTCAACCAGGAGCAATGTACGGACTTGATTTAGATCTCAACCCAAGTAAACTTGAAAATACACATTTATGGGGGCGCCTGGGTGGCTCAGTCGTTAAGTGTCTGCCTTCGGCTCAGGTCATGATCTCAGGGTCCTGGGATCGAGCCCCGCATCGGGCTCCCTGCTCCGCGGGAAGCCTGCTTCTCCCTCTCCCACTCCCCCTGCTTGTGTTCCCCTCTCTCGCTGTGTCTCTCTCTGTCAAATAAATAAAATCTTTAAAAAAAAAAAGAAAATACACATTTATGACATGAGACAATTGGAAATGTGAACCCCGGCTCGAATATACATTGGTACCAAGGAATTATTGTGGTTTCTAAAATGTGGAATAATATATTGTGGTTACATTAAAAAAAAAGAGCCCTATCTTTTAGAAAATACAGACTAAATTATTTACAGATGAAAACAGCTCGATGTCTGGGATTTGTTTCAAAAAAATACAGGAGTCAGGGGAAATAGGTCATGAGCTGATGATCACTGAAACTGGGTGATGGGTATATGTGGAGTTCAGGATACTATTCTCCCCTTTTATATATGTTTGAAATTTCCCATGATAGTTGTTTTTTTAAGAGGGGGAAGAAAAAGGGGTGCCTGGCTGGCTCAGTTGGTGGAGCATGTGATGTCAGGGTGGTGAGTTTGAGCCCCATGTTGGGTGTAGAGATTACTTACAAATCTTTAAAAAAAAAAAGGAAGAAAAACAAGTTACCAGGATAACCTAATTGAGAAGGGGACATTTGCTGTGGAATGCTCAGCATGTACAGGGCCCCTGCCACCATCTGGCATTAAGAGGACTAAAAAATATATTATCCAGGGGCTGTGATAGATGAGAGATGGCCAAAAATTCTTTTCTAATCTTCCCATTACGGGGTGGAGCAAACTCCCCTCCCCCGGAATCCAGTCTGGCCTTTGAGAGTTGACAATTGACTGCAGAAGAAGTGACGTTTTAGGACTTCCGAGGCTGTTAAAAGAGGCTTTCCAGCTTTGTTTGGCTCTCTTGGAACACTCTGGAAGTCCTGAGCCACCATATGAGAAATTCGACTACCCAGAGTTGGTCATTCTGGAAGCGCCCAATAAACAGTCCCAGCTGAATTCAGTCTTCTACCCAGCCCCACCAAGTCTCCAAACTTGAGTGGAGCCCACACGGAACCTTCCAGACCAGCCCATCTGCTATGTGAAATAAAAGAATCACCCAGCTGAACCCTGCCTGAATTCCTGACCCATAAAATCATGAGATGTAATTAAATGGTTGATGCTTTAAGTCATTAAGTTTAGAGGTAGTTTCTTAGGCAGCAAAAGGTGGCCAGAATAGAGCTGTATATCCAAGTGACAAGTTATTTAAGCGAGGGAATAATAAACCCAGAAGTCAGGATAGTGTTTCTTGGGGGAGGAGCACAGGTAGATTCAAAGGTACCCTTAAGGGCCTAAAGCTGAGGTTGTGTGTTGTGGGTTCTCAAGTATGCATTTTTATTTTATGGGCACATTTCATATATAATATTGTAGGTCCTAAATATCACATCATCAAAAAGACTTTTATAAAAGATCTCAAGCAAACGTGGGAAATGGTGAAATTTGTGAAGTCTGAGTGGTGGGTACACAGGTGGGTACACATGATTCTCTATGCTTTATATTTGAAATATGATTCTCTAAGACACTTGAAATCTAATAAAACTATCCTAAAATTAGTAGGACTTCTACAAGGATGAAAAAGAAAAAAACCGCATGTGATATGTGTATACATAAGTGTAGAAAAAGAGGCATGAAAAGTTGAGTTCCCCAAATGTTAATGATTAATATCTCGGGGGGAGGGGGGGTTCTTGTGCTTCTATTGTGCAAACATATATAATATAAAATTTACCATTTTAAACATTTTTAAGTATACAATTCAGTGGCTTTTTTAAAAAAAGATTTTATTTATTTACTTGTCAGAGAGAGCACGAGCAGGGGGGAGCGGCAGGCAGAGGGAGAGAGAGAAGCAGGCTGCCCGCTGAACAAGGAGCCCGAAGCGGGACTCGATCCCAGGACCCTGGGATCACGACCCAAGCTGAAGGCAGACACTCAACTGACTGAGCCACCCAGGTGTCCCCAATTCAGTGGCTTTTGCCATCTTCCAAAATTGATGCCTTGTACCCATTCCCAGTAATCCTTCCCCAGTCCTCCTCCCTGTCCCCAGCCCCTGGCAGCCACCACCCTTCGGTTCTGTCTCTGTGAATGTGACCACTCTAGGAACTTAAATGGAAGTGGAATCATACAATATTTGTCCCCTTGTGACCAATATTTTACCTCACGTAATGTCTGCAAGAGTCATCCGCGTTGTCACGTGTGTCAGAATTTCATGTGTCTATGACATGTCCTTTTATCTATTCATCCATCGATGAACATTTGGTGCTATGGACTGAATTGTGCCCCCCCCAAATCCATATTGAAGCCCAAACCCCCAGTGTGACTAGTTGAGATAGGACTTTGGAGAGGTAATTAAGGTTAAGTGAGGTCATAAGGGTGGGGCCCTAGTCCAGTAGGATTGGTGTCCTTATAAGAAAAGGAAGCAACACCAAGGATGTGTGAAAAGGCCACATGAGGACGTGGCAAGAAGGCAGCTATCTGCGAGCCACCGAGAGAAGTCTCAGGAAAAATCAACCCTGCTGGCGCTTTGGTCTTGGACTTCCAGTCTCCAGAACTGTAAGGAAATAAATTTCTCTTGTTTAAGCTACCCAGTCTGTAGTCTTGTTATGGCAGCCCTACCAAATTAATGCCCTTGGGTTGCTTCCACATTTTGGCTACTGTGAATCAGGCTGCTGTGAACATGGGTATATGAATATCTATTTGAGTCTGCTTTCAATTATCTTGGGTATATATTCAGAAGCGGAATTGCTGGATCATATGATAATTCAAGGTTTAATTTTTTTGGAGAACTGCCATGCTGGTTTCTGCAGTGACTACACCATTTTCCATGCCCACCAGCAAAGCACAAGTGTTCCGTTCTCTCCACATCCTCACCAACACTTGTTACTGTCTGTTTTGTTTTTTAATATTTAAAAATTTTTTAAGTAAGCTCTGTCACCAGCATGGGGCTCGAACTCACAACCCTGAGATCAAGAGTCATAGGCTCTATGACTGAGCCAGCCAAGGCACCCCCTGTTTTCTTGTTAATGGCCATCCCGATGTATAAAATGGTCTCTCATTGTGGTTTTGATTTGCATTTCTCTTAATGATTAGTGATGCTGAGCATCTTTTCATGTGCTTATTGGTTATTTAAATGTATATCTTCTCTGGGGACTTGTCTATTCAAGTTCTTTGCCCATTTTTTAATCAGGTTGTTTGTTTGGTTCTTGAACTTTTATGTATATATCTAAATGTATATCATCAGAAAGAATGAAACTAGTTTTATTGCAGCTGAAACAGAGAAAGGGAGTAATTTTAAAAAGGAAGCTTTTGCTCTCTCATTTTCCCCCCTCTTTTCAATCATTCTTTTTCAATCATTCTGATTATATCAAGAAGAAAGCCTCGATTTGTACTCTTATAGTTTTTAATGCTGATTTTTAAAAATGTGAGAAATACAGAAAACTAGGAAGTGAATCATCCAAATGCAATCAGAAGTGCAGTGTTTTTTTATCCTAATTATAGTCACATTTTATATCTGACCATGACATTTTTTTTTTTTTTTTTTGCTTAGGTTTGTGTGTCATACACATTTCCAGGCTACTGCATGAGAAGACCAACATGTGTCTACTGAAAGATTTGGATTCCTATGCTCACCCTCACTTCCTCTCCACTTCTCTGAACCTCACTTTCCACTGAGGGTCCACTTCCAATAACATGGGGTAGGTAGTCAGTAAATGGCAATTCTTAAAAAAAAAAAAGATTTATTTATTTATTTTAGGTAGAGAGAGAGAGAGAGAGAGATGGGAGTGGGGAGGAGGGGCAGAGGGAGAGGGAGCAAGAAAATCTCAAGCCGACTCCCTGCTAAGCGTGGAGCCTGAGGAAGGGCTCAATCTCACCACCCTGAGATCATGACCAAAAGGACCTATATCCATCCAAAAGGATCCTTCGCAAATGAGTGAGAGACAGAGTTTCAGATAAACCAAAGGTGAGAAAATGTGTCACCAGCAGACCTTCGTTACCAGAAACCATTAAAGGGGGACACCTGGGTGGCTCAGTCGTTAAGCAGCTGCCTTCGGCTCAGGTCATGATCCCAGGGTCCTGGGATCGAGCCCCACATCGGGCTCCTTGCTCAGCAGGGAGCCTGCTTCTCCCTCTGCCTCTGCCTGCCGCTCCCCCTGCTTGTGCTCTCTGTCTCTCTGACAAATAAATAAATAAATAAATAAATAAAAATCTTAAAAAAAAAACAAAACAAACATTAAAAGGTGTCCTTCAGACCAAAGAGAAATGGCGCCAGAAGGAAACCCGGATGTACAAGAAGGGATGAAGACTGGAAATAGCAAGTCAGTGAGTAAGAAAAAATTATGCTTTCTTATTGTAGCTGACTTAAAAGGTAAACAACTCTCTAATGGAAAGAACAAAAACTGTACACTGGGGTTTACAACAGTTGTGGAAGTAAAAGATACGACAAGGCGGCACCAGGAATAGGAGGGCAGGTATATGGAACTAACTATTGTGTTGGAAGGTTAGTAGGTTTGTGAAGTGTCACATGTAAAGCGAGAAGGGGACAGTTGGAAGTTTGATGTTTCAGGCGTGAAGTATGACTCTAAAGAGACTCTCTAAGTGAAAGGTGTGTATTGTTAACCTAGAGCTACCACAGAAAGTAGCAAAAAGAGGTACAGCTAAGAAGAAATAGCAGGTATCACAAAGAGATATTTTATTAACCCCAAAGAGGGAAGGAAATTCCCCAATATGAATAAATAAACACACTTCTAAATAACCCATAGGCCAAATAAGAAATTATGTGAGAAATTAGACTTACAAACAAAATAAAATCTTTTAAGTATTTTCCATAGCCTGCCCCCCCCCCCGCCTCTCTCTCTCTCTCTCTTTCTCTCTCTCTCTCTCTCTCTCTCGTTTCTTCAAATCCTTGGCTAACTGTTCTCATAGTGTCCAATCACTTTGTAAAACAGCTTTCAGCCCAGTTGATAAGCTATCAGTTCCACTTTTTTTCCTCTTGGAAAACAACCTTCTGGAGGCCTTCCGTCCCCTGCTCCCATCTGAACTTGGAGCTCTCAAGGTTTCACACTCGGCTGTCATGCTGGCATCCTCCTCCCCTATCGACTTAGGGATTCCCTTTGTACTTCTGTGTTGTGTCCCCTGTTTGATGGATCCCCTAGCTCTGTCTTAATTGGTTTACTCTCATGCTTTGGTTTCTTTCATTTTTAATCTATGTCTCATTTTATAGTTTTCCAATTCCCCCCACATTTGGAAAGCTTGGCATTTTCTTCTTGAACAAAATAAGCATCATTGTTTTACGATCACGCTCGCAAATTCTGATGTTTGAAACTCTCCTGCATTCATTTCTATTGGCTGTGATTTCTACTGGTTCTTGCTTGTAGTGTCTTAAATTTTTATGTGTCTTTGTGTTGGACATTAGATTTTAGTTTAAAGAAATAATTTTAAGCCTAAGATACTGTTGTTCCTCCAAAGAAGACTTTGATTTGTTTTCCCTAGGTGCCTGGGGCTCCTAGCTATCTGAAGTAAACTTAACCTGATTTGGGGGTGTGAGATTTTTCTGGGTTACACAGATGAACGGAAGGCAGGCTGCAATGCGTGTGAGATATGATTTGCATCCCATTCATCCTTACTGCTAGGGTGTAGCTTTTCAAGATACCAGTCCAAGGCAGGCAATGGTTTAACGGGGTCTTTACGTTGGCCTGACCCTGGACTCTGACTTTTGTTCCCTGTCCCTGGGAGGCCACCAGAAGCACTTGGTCTCTCAGCTGCTTCTTCCTGATTGGAAAAAGTCTCCCTGAGCCAAAGTGACCTGAAGAGCTGTTCTCATCTCACTGGGTTCTTGTCCTTTCCCGGATCTTGGCTCGCTACTTTCTCACTGAAACTATTTTGTCCACCTTTGATGTCTCCAGTGGGAGTGTTGGTCCGCATTACCTAGTCTGCCATTTACAGAAGCTAAAGTCCCTCTTCTTCGTTTGGGTGGCAAAAAAAGAAAGAGTGTATAAGAATTAATTTTTTGAGGGGGGCACCCGGGTGGTCCGGTCGGTTAAGTGTTGGACTCCTGGTTTCGGCCCAGGGTCCTGAGATCAAGCCCTGCATCGGGCTCCACACTCAGCTCGGAGTCTGCTTGTCCCTCTCCCTCTGCTCCTCACCCCCTGCTCTCTGTCTCTCTAGAGTAAATGAATTAAATCTTAAAAAAAGGAATTAATTTTTTGAGGCCTTGTATGTTTGAAACTTCTATTCTCATAATTGTTGGTTTGGCTGGATTTGGAATTCTAGTTGGATATTAATTTTTATATTGAAAGCATTGCTTCCTTATCTTCTAGCTGCCGGTGTTTCTCTTGAAGAATCCAAAGCCATTCTGATTTCTGATCCTTTTCATCTGATCTATTTTTTTTTCCTCCTGGAAGCGCTTAAATCTTCTCTTTATCCTTGTGTTTGAAATTTTCATGATGAGGTGCCTTGATTTGGGCTCTTTTCACTCACTGTGCTGGGCACACCATATTCTTCCAAACTGGAAACTCATGTCCTTCAGCTCTGGGTATTTTTATGTGTGATTTTTTCAATAATCTCCTCTCCACCTTTCCCCCCCTGCTCTCTTTCTCGAATATTTGTCTCCTGGAACAATTCTCTGATGTCCTTTTTCTTTTCAGTCCTACTCTGTCTTTTTACTCTGTCTTTTGTCTCCTACTCCCTGAGAGCTGTCCTAAACTTTTAATTTGCAAGAGCCCTTTCTTGTTCTTTAAATGCTCCTTCTCGATGAATTACGTCTCCAAGGATATTGTGGATTTTTAAAAGTTGTTTTCTGCTGTGTGCATGATTTCCTTTTTATTTGAGTTTCTTTTTCTTATGTCTCTTTTAATCTTTTTTTAAAAGATTTTATGTATTTATTTGAGAGAGAGAGTGAGTGAGAGAGAGCACGAGAGGGAGGACGGGCAGAGGGAGAAGCAGACTCCCACTGAGCCAGGAGCCCGACTCGACTCGGGGCTCGATCCTGGTACTCCAGGATCATGACCTGAGCTGAAGGCAGATGCTTAGCGGACTGAGCCACCCAGGTCCCCTTGTCTGTTTTAATCTCAGAGGTTTTTTCACTAGTGTCCTGGCCAGAACCAGGTCCTGGTGAGACAAACAGGACGCCAAGGGTGTAAAATTTAGGGAGGCACTCCCTTCTCAGGCTCATGCAAATGCAGGGCCAGCATGTGAGAGTGAGCGCCTCCTTAAATTGTGCGCCCTGGGCATCTTGCCTTACTCTAGTCCCAGCTCCGGACCCTGATCCATATTTAGGGATGAGATATGAACATGCTGACCAGAAGCCCCGTGGCATGGGTCAGGCCTGTCCACTGGCTTCATTCTACAATGCCTGGACCAGGACACAGACATTTCATTATGGCATCTCCAAATGGAGAGCATCTTAATTTGGGTTTTCTGAAAAGTGGAGGCTGAGAATAGGATTTGAGAGCAGGCAGTGTATTTAGGAGTTGGTCTCAGGCGTTTGGAGTGAAGGAGCTGAGAGAGTGACACAGGGAAAGAGAGAAAGCCAATATAAACATGCGTGCCTGAGGTCACCCCTGTAGGGAACATGGTTTCATCCCCCCCAGCGCCTCCTTAGAAGCCCTCAGAGGCCTCCCGGAATTGACCACAGAGAACAGAAAGCTGGCGCTTTTTTTTTTTTTAATATTTTATTTATTTGACACAGAGAGACAGAGCGAGAGAGGGAACACAAGCAGGGGGAGTGGGAGGGGGAGAAGCAGGCCTCCCGCCAAGCAGGGAGCCCGATGCGGGGCTTGATCCCAGGACCCTGGGACCATGACCTGAGCCGAAGGCAGACACCCAACAACTGAGCCACCCAGGCGCCCCAGGAAGCTGGAACATTTAAAGATTTTTTTTTTTTTTAATTTATTTGAGACAGGGAGAGAGAGAGCACATGAGCAGGGGGAGGTGCAGAAGGAGAGGGAGAAGCAGGCTCTCCGCTGAGCAGGGAGCCCGATGCGGGGCTCGATCCCAGGACCCCAGGATCATGACCTGAGCCGAAGGCAGATGCTTAAGCATCTGAGCCACCCAGGCGCCGGGAACCTGGAGCATTTAAACACCCGCTCCTATCTCCCCATGGGTGGAGAGTTAATCCTGGGGTGATAATTGACCACACTTCAGGCTGCTCTTAAAAGTGAGCCAGGTAGGCACCTACAATGTCTTAGTCCATCTGGACTGCTGTAACAAAATCCCACACGTGGAGTGGCTTGTTCACAACAGACATTTCTTTCTCACAGTCCCGGAGGCTGGGAAGTCCAGGGTCTGGTGTCTGGTGAGGACTCGCTTCCTGGTTCACAGGCAGCCATCTTTTTGATGTGTCCTCCCATGGTCGAGGAGGCAAGAGATCTTTCTGGAGCCTCTTGCGTAAGGGCACTACGCCCATTCATGAAGGCTCCACCCTCAGGACCTAATCACCTCCCAAAGGCGCCACCTTCTGATACCATCGCCTTAGGGGGTAGGTTTCAACAGCTGAATGGAGGGGGGCACAAATATTCAGACCATAGCACACAGCATCAGAGAAGGCCTGGGAACTACAAGCAGAAAGAAGCCTCATGTTCCCCGAAGGTCGAACACTACCAGCATGAGGTCAGTCTGATCTTGTACAAAACGGTGCATGTATGTGGCTGAAATCAGACGTGGCCCAGGGGAAGGGACAAGACACACTAGGGGACTACATAAACTCCAGTCTCCAGACTGGTGGATGTATGCCAGGTTGCTAGCATACTGGGAGCTCTGGGGAAAGGAGCCTAGGGGTGAGGGTGCTGGACTTACTAAAGTCTAAATGGACTTTCCATCAATTGTTCTGCTTTTGGTTTAGCCAGTAACTCCCATCCTCAGCTGTGTTAAGTGTCACCAAGAAGAGACCTTCTATAATTCAACCCCCCTCCCCCCGCCGCATATTGATGCCTTCCTGAACTCACTTGGGCCAAGACATGCATTCTGGGCCACCCCTCCACATGTACGCATCATCACTGGGTCTGAGGCACTGAGGTTTGTGTCCCACGGGTGGTCACAGGCAGAGTCGACTTGGGGGGTTGGGGGGGTGGCGGTGGGGGTGGGAGTGGGGGGTCAGAATGAGCCGGGGCAGTCGGGAGGCCTGGATCTTCTCCCCCAGACTCCACCCACTCCCCAGGCCTGGGTAATATGCCAGGCGGTCCCTGGGAGGGGCCACCCAGGGTGATGGTCCCTACGCACCTGCACTCTGTATCCTTGGGGAGGCAGGAACCCCTGGGCGCCCGTGGAGAGTCCCAGCTCACCACTGGGGGGGCGGTGCTGTGCTCATATAGGCCATATAACTCACCTAAGTGGAATCATACAATACTTGGTTTTTGTGACTGCCTTAGTTCAGAGTGTATAATGTCTTCAAGGTTCATCCATGTTGTAGCAGATGTCAGAACTCCCTTCCTTTTTAAGGCTGAGTAATCTTTCATTATATGGATAGACCACACTTTCTGCATGCATTCATCTGTCAGTGGACACGGGTTGTTTCTACCTTTTGGGCATCGTGAATAATGCTGCTGTGAACACCGGTGTGCAAATACCGTTTGAATCTCTGCTTTCAGTGTTTCCGTGTATATACTCAGAAGTGGGATTGCTGGATCCTGCGGTCATTCTGTGTTTAATTTTTGAGGAACTGCCATGCTGTTTTCCACAGCAGCTGTACCATTTAAGAAACGCACAAGGGTTCCAATTTCTCCATCTCCTGGCCAACGCTTGTTCTTTTCTGGGTTTTGGGTTTGGTTTTTTTTTTTTCCGTAGTAGCCATCTTCATGAGGGTGACGTAAATTTATTTTTAAGTATCATTTCATTTCGCTCTGGTAAACAAAACCCATTTTCACCTGCCATAAATAGAAAGTAAAAGTAAACACACAGTACTACAGATGTCTGGGAGTTTTCGCCTTCACTGTCTAACCACCCTCCCCTACTGAACTCAGAGCGCAGCAGTAGCGGATTCTCTGTTCCCTCCACCTGCTCTGTCCTTCCCCTGCCTCCCTTTGTGTTGTAGAGCTTACCTAGCGCAGCGGACTGACGCCAGGGGAAGTGATAAATCAGCACTGGCAATAGGGAGAGGCCTGCTTATCAAGCGCTGCGTAACAAACCACCCCCAAACTCCGGCCCTTAAAACAACCACAATCATTTCTCTTGCTCCGGAGTCTGCGATTCGGCCCGGATGTCTAGTGATATCCGAGGACAGCAGGGATGACCTGACCGCTGGGGGGATTGGAATAGTAAGGGGCTGCCCAGGGCCTCTCTTTCCCTCCTTAGTGGAGGCTCAGGGGCCTCTCCGTGGCACCTCTCCACGTGGCTGGACTTCCATGTGGAAGCTCAGGGCTCCAGGAGACCCAGGCAGAAGCCAGGTGAGGCCACGTCTGCCACACTGGGCAGGAGGTCACTGAGGCCAGCCCAGGCTGGAGGGGAGGGGACCCAGACCCCACATCCCAGTGGGAGGAGTGTCGGAGAATCTGCGGGCACCGTTCACCGGCCCAGGAGGGACTTGCTGGAGACGGGCGCTCTGCTCCGCGGACCATGAGCATCCCAGGCACACTGAGCATCCCAGGGCAGTGGCAGGATGGAGCCATGACTCTGGGGACATGGGTAGCCCATCTGTTGGGCTTCGGGTTCACTCATGACTGCCTTTGAATTCTTTCTGCGCCTGGACGGGGCCCGTGGGCCTTTCCAGCCTCTGTGGGGCGTAACGGTGCTGTTTTCCACGCCCAGGGCATGACGGCAATGGAGGCAACATCGGAATCCTGCAACAGGTTGTACTGTGGTTTTCAGGCTTCGTGTGCCGGGGGGTGCGTGGCAACCGGATCCAGCAGAGCAGGCAAGACCCGGGCGGGCAGGACCTTCCAGAGCTCCGCAAGGAGCATGCTTAGTTCCAAGTGATGGAGCACGGAATTGCAATAGGATGCTGTTTAGACTTTATAAATATTTTGTCCTATATCG